AACGCGCGGCCATGGAGCGGGAACCCCGCGCCGGGGTCGCGCTGGTCCCGGGGCCGAGCGGACGCGGGCCTTCCTCCCGCCACCGCCGCCCCGGGCTGCTGCTCCCCGGCCTCTGGCTGCTGCTGCTCGCCCGGCCGGCCTCGTGCACCCCAGGTAAGCCCCGCCGGGACCCCCGGGACGCGGCCACGACCCTGCGGGTCTTCCCTGCCGTTCTTTTCAAACCCCAGCTTCCCCCACCCGCCCATCTTTTATTCTCCAGCGCTTCCTCGCCTTTCTTTCTGGAGGTGCTTTTTGCATTCTTCTTAGGCCCAGCAAATAAAGGCACGGAGGAGATGAATAAATCCAAAGGAAGCGAGCGAGCGCGTTCTGACCGGTCTTGCTAAAGGTCTAAGACACTAACCTCCAGCGAACCATGTTGCCTGAGGCGGGTCTGATGGCTTCAGCTTTGAATATGCTTGTAGTTTTTTTTTTTTTTTTTTTCTTTTTTTTTCCTCGTTGCAAAATGCAGGCACTGGAATTGTATTTGTGCATGGCCGTATGAATGTGGTATAGCGAATGTTTTGGAATACTTTTATTGTCGGGGCGAAGGGGTACATTTGGTGTATGCTGTAGAGCAGGATTGTGTTGCTGTGGACAGCCAGTGTTCCCCCCCAGATGAGGGCAAGCTGGCCGTGTCCCCCAGTATGCCAGGACACAAAGAACATTCAAAGAAAAAAATCTCTTGGAAAGCGCCCTGGCCATGGATCTTTCCAGGGAACTAGCTGTTGGTATTACTTCTACAAAGGCATTACAATGGAGTGTGAAAATATTTTGATTCTTAAGTGCCTGGGACATTGAAAGGAGTCAGGGTTGGTTTTACAATAGATGAGATTTAGTGACTGTTCATCAGCATGGAATTAAGAGGCACGATTTATGAAGCTTGTGGGTGGGTTTTGTTTGTTGAGGAAATGATTTAATTCATGTTGCTTCTCTGAAATGTTTATTTATCCACTCTAAGCATGCATGGTGGGATGGCCTGGAGGCCATCCCGGAGGTAACACATCGAAAGCCTGATTGCCCCAGCACACACACTTGACCACTTTGTGGGTGGAAGAGGAAAGTGGAAAGAGCAGTTTAGGGTGCAGAGCTACTTCACACTGAACAAAAACCAGAAAGCTATGGAAAGCAAGTCAGAATCCTCCCTTCTTGTGGGAGCCAAAGGACTGCCAAGTGGCTTTGGAGGAATTGAAACACATTTAAAGGTGTCCCTTGGGCCTGATTGTGGGCATTATAGTCAGTGCCATGTAGGGGAGGATGGAGTAGAAGACAGGAAGGGATTTGGGGGAATATGGAATGAGACCACTCCAGTCACTAAGGAGGAAACTAAGGCAGAGGAACAACTTGCTCAAGGTCAAGGGCTAGTTGGTGCAAAGGCATCCATTTAATCACTCAGTCTGCTGCTCTGGACCCACAGACTGGATACACAGCTGAAGCCTCCACAGAGATTTCCCTTAGCTGGGTGGAACCCTGCTTCAGGAAGCCACACCAGAGGTGGGGTTGACAGTGAGCCTCTTTCAAGCTATGTACATAGCTGGTGCAAAAACTTTGCCCAACCTAGCACCTCGCGTCCCAGTCCTGCTCCCTGGGAGTTCCCAGCTCTGTGTTCAGAGAAAAGGTAATTTCTAAAAGTGCTCTTGTCTTTAGTCAACAAAGAAAGCTGGATTCTCCTGGATTTGTCCACGAGACCTAGCTCACTGTTTCCACTGACCTGTGTGCCAGGTGCTATATTTTACATAGGTCAGGGAAGTCTGGCTCCAGGCTCTGTGATACACAGCCTCTGGGCCTGACATTGCCCCCTCATGCATGTGGTCATCTGAATGTTCATTCTATAGGGGGTGTGGAGGATATAAGTTCTTTTGCTAAATTTAAAATCAACAGTGGATGTCTAGACTGCTCCCCATTTCCCTTTTTCAGAAAACCTTTTCTGTCTCCCTGCTTACCCCTAATCCAAATATCCAACTTGAAGACGTGAAGTTATATTTTCAGTCTATCGATGATGTCACGGAGGCAGACACAGCATCCTTTCACTAATTTGCACTTCGGGTTCCTCTGGTTTGCACAGCTGCTTCTGAGCAGGATCATAGATGGAGAGCCAATGAGTGTAGCATCCAGTTTCAAGGACTCAGTCCTCGAGGACCCAACTGCAAACACAAAGGAGTGTGCAAACAAGTGTGGACTTTTTTTCAGTAGAAAAGGCAGTGAGCAACCTGCCAGGTAGAGGTTCCTCAGGGATGACCCTGTGACAGGGACTTCCTCCTCTTCCTGAAGGCTCTGGGGGAACCAGCTGGTGGAAAGTGGCTTCCTAAGGTGCCTAGGGGATGCTTGGGTATGGTCAGTAGCTGTTGATCCTGGGGAGAGGTGGCATGTTTGGCTCAGGTCTCCTCATTATGCCACCAGGATTCCCTCATCTTTAGTTAAGTTGGACTTTCAGCAGTGGTGTGGAGAGGGAGAGCCTTGGTTGAAGGTTGCCCTGGGGGTGCAGGGCAAAACTTAGTCCTGTTTGCAGGTTCCCTGGGAGGCAGCAGTCCCTTCTGTGGCTGACAAAGCTCTGCCTTCATCACCTTTCTCTTTCCTTCCCTAGAGCTGCTCTCTTCATTACAGTCTTCAGTCAGTGCTGTGCTGTAGGTACCTTGCCTGTTTCTATTTATGTCAACCTTTTGAATGGGCTTTTTTATTTTTTTAAATTTTTTTCTTTTTAAAGAAAACATTGATAAGTTTGGTTTTGAAGGTTCATTGTTGTGGAAACAACTTGTAATTGGAGGGGATTTCTTTTGAATGTGGTGCTTTCAGGCAGCCAGCCATAGAATATACAATAGAAAAGGAAAGAATTGTGCCTCATTCCTCATTCAGAGATAAGTCTATTTAAAAATTATGATCACAGGACTGGAGAGGTGGCTCAGCGGTTAAGAGCACTGGCTGCTCTTGGAGAGGACCCAGGTTCGATTCAGTACCACATGGTGGCTAACAACCGTTTGTAACTCCAGTTCCAGGGACCTGATGCCCTCTTCTGACCTCTGGGGCATTGCATGAAATGAGTGCACTTACATACATGCAGGCAAAACACACACACAAAAGATAAAAAAAATTATGATCATTATGAAATGGAAAGCATTTCAGAATCTAGAAATTGACGAAGGATACAGAAAACAGTCACTCAGGACTTTGGGTGTGACTCAGTGGAAGAGCACTGGATAGCATGCCCAGACCCTGGGTTCAGTTCCCAGTACAAGGAAGGAAGAGAGGGAGGATGGGCAGGAAGAAAAGAAGGAAGGAAGGAAATGTGACTCACCCTTAATTTCATAGTCCACAGATAACACTGTAAATAGAGTTTTGTGTGTGTGATTTTGTTTTGTTTTGATTTGAGGCAGGATCTCCCTGGAACTCAGTATGTAAACCAGGCTGGCCTGGACCTCACAGAAATTCACCTGCCCCTGCATCCAGAGTGCTGGGATTAAAGGATTAACCCCCAACTCTACAAGTTTTTTGTTGTTTCATAGACGGTTGCTGCATAGCCCAGGCTGGTCCAGAAGTCACTGTAGACCAGGCTAGCTTTGAACTTGTAGTGTTCCACCTGTCTCTGCCCGCCGCCCCCCGCCCCCGTGCTGGGATTAGAGATGTGTGCCACTATGCCTGATCCTTTTTGGTTGTCATTAACATTTAAAAAGAGAAATTGTCTACATAACTTTATTTGGGTGTGACTCAGTCAAAGAGCATTGGGTAGCATGCTTTTCCATTGAGTAGCATACTATTCTATTCAGTATTTAGCATACTATTTCTAGGATACTATTTCTATTCAGCATTTAATTGAAGCATAATTTTCTTTTTAAAAATGATTTTATTTCATTTATTATTATTGCTGGGGTGTGGATGTGGATGTATATGCCACAGCTTGTGTGTGGAGGTCAGAGAATAATTTTATAGAGTCATTTCTCTCCTTTCTTCCACCTTTACATGTGTTCTGGGATCAAACTCAGGTCATCAGGCTTGCATAGCAAGCACCTTACCCACGGAGCCATCTTGCCAGCCCTTTAAGTACAATTTTCTATCCTAACAATATATTTAATTATTCTTTGTGTGTATGTGTGTGTGTTGATGTATGCTTATGTGTGTGTGTGTGTGTAAGGGTATGTGGGTGTGGAGGCCAGAGGTCGACCTCTGGGTGTTTTCTTTTGTTGTTTTTCATCATATTTTTTGTTTTGCATTTTATTATTTATTTATTTATTTATTTATTTATTCAGTGTATATTTGTGTGGGTATACCATGGACCACATGTGGAGTAGAGGTCAGCTGACAACTTTTGGGAGTCTGTACCCTGATTCCACCATGTAGATCTTGGGTATCAAACTTGGGTCATTAGGCTTGGCAGCAAGCACCTTTACCTACTGAGCCATTTTACTGGCCCATCCACCTTAGTTTTTTGAGGTAGGGTCTCTCACTGACTCTCAAGCTTGCTGTATTGGTTAGACTGACTGGCAAGCCCCAGGGATCTATTCTGTCTGCCTTTCCAACCCTGGGGTTACAGGCACACACCACCATGCCCGGCTTTTTATGTGGGTTCTGGGAATCTGAACTCAGGTCCTCATGCTGTGTGGCAAGCATTTTACCAGCTGAGTCATCTCCCAGCCCCTAATTGGTCTTTTATTTACATTAAAAAAATTTTTTTATTTATTATTATTTTTATTTTATGTGTATGCATGTATTGCCTGCATGTAGGTAAGTGCACCTGTGTCGTGCAGTGCCCACAGAGGTCAGAAGAGGCTGTTGGATCCCCTGGGACTGGAGTTATGGACAGTTGTTAGCTGCCATGTGGGTGCTGGGATTTGAACCCGGGTCTTCTGCAAGAACAACCAGTGTTTTTAACCATTGAGCCATCTCTCCAGCCCCTTACATTTTTTTTTTAGCTGCTGTAAATGTTGTGATGCATAGCTATACAGATAAATCTTTATCTCTGTATTTTTCTGTGTAAATGGATTTTTTTTTTTTTTTTTTGTCTTTTTGAGACAGGGTCTCCCTGTAGCCCCAGCTGTCCTGGAACTCACTATGTAGACCAGGCTGGCCTCCAACTCACAGAGATCCGCCTGCCTCTCCCTACCGAGATTAAAGGCGTGCACCAC